TGATATTAGTAGTAATGAAACTAAATTAATTTCTTCACTTCCTAATATTGAAGCTAAGTCATTCTCTTATTCACCAAATGGGCAATTTATGGTAGTGAGTGGAATTAGTACATCAGAACCATACTTATATTTCTACAACACAGACAGAATGAAATTATACAAAAAAGTTCCAATTGAAAATATGAGTTATATTTGTTGGGATCCAATGGGATTATTCCTTGGTGCAGTACGTTCATATCTTTATTCTCCACATGCAAAGAATGGATTTATGTTATATGACTGTTTTGGAAATTTACAATTTGAAACATATAAAACTAATTTTGCTGGATTATTATGGAGACCACAACCAACAAATATTATTAAACCAGAAATGGCTAAAGAAGTTGAAAGTAAATTCAATGAATGTTTAAAAACAATGAAAGAAGAAGATGAACGAAAGAAAGAACAAATTGAATTAGAAAAGAAACAAAGAGCTGATGAATTAATGAAAAGATTTAGAAGTGTTGTTCAAAAGAATGCTCAATTATCTGCTAAAGAACATTTAAGAGCTTATGATTCTGGAATGAAAATTATTGTTGAAGAAATTAAACAAAAGAAAGAGTCTAATGAAGAAGTAAAAGAAAATATAACAGAAACTCAGTAATTAACATTCTTTGAATTATTTTTTTTCTATAAAATTTGAAAATTTTAATAGATTTATGAAAATCAAATCAATTCTTTTTAACAACAATCATTCTTTATTATTATTTAATGTAGTAAATATTTTTATTATTGAACATGTCGTTTAGCTGTTCCAATTACACAGGTATTTACTTTAGTTGCAAACCTTAATGAAGATATTGTTTCTAATGTGTCTTGTTGATCAGATGAAATATTAACAAACATTAATGTTTTTGAATCACTTCCAAGACAATTTTGAAGAAGTTCTGTTAATTTACTATTTCTATATGGAATATGACTATCTTTATTTGCAATAGCAACAATAACATCCCCTAGTGCACTTAAACTTTTATTAATATTTTTTGTTTCTTCTAATCGTTCTCCTTTTGCTCCACTTTCATCTAATCGTTCACTACCAGCCAAATCTACTAGTGTTAATCCTCCAAATCGTTGTTCATTTGATCCAATATTTCTTCCACATAAATCCATCATAAATATTGAATGTGATCTTGAAGATTGTGCATTACATTTAGTTGCTGCAACTGCTCTATTACGTGTTGCTATATTAATAAGATGGTCAACTTCTTCTGCTTCAGAAACTTCAATAACATTTGCTTCTGG